TTACCCATGAATATGATCAATGCTGTGGAACCGTGCAGCATCATGGCCTTTGCACTCCACAACAGTGGCTTGCTCTTTCTTTGTCTATTTTACGAAAACCAAATGTGAATAAAGTATACAAAGGAAGGAAAAGACAAACAACAAAAAGGGCACAATTACTACATTGAAATCTGTGATCGTGAGTTTGATGACGCGATAATCCTCACCCCTACTGCATTCCCTTTCACATGCCAATTCTTTCATGAAAAAAAAAGTACACGTAATTACTAGATGGATACAATAGTTCATAAAAAAAGTCGCATAAAAGAGGCAGATCAAATACAGGACCATGAACAATTACTAAAAATAGTTGCATAAGAATTGATGCACTAAAAAGGATATTTACTACTCTTGCAAGCTGGTAGTAATAACTACAATCTTTAGCTGAAAGGCTAACAAGAAGTTAAATTAGTTGATGAATTTAGTTTAATTTAATTTTAAGTCAAATAATATGGAACCTACGGGCCATTTACATCAATTCCTTGTACAAAGCATGGACATAAAGGAGCCCTTAAAATTTTAAATAAAAACAAACCAGTTATCCCTTAATACCTAAAGTTCATTACAAGAGAATAATTCTAATGTGATAATCTTTCACTCTTTAATCATTTGATGCTTACAAGTGAATCTAACTTAGAAATCAATCCTGAATGAAATTTTTTCAATCCCTACTAGAGGATATAATGCAATAAGTTTGTTAAGAATTCAAACTTCAGCAGCATAGTATCAGCATGGACCAATGTGCACTAATGAAAGCCTATAAAGATTAGAACTTAAATTTTTTTCATAGAGAAAGTTATCTTAAAGTCATGTCTTATGTAGGAACATGTAGGACTAAATAATCGTTTTAACCTAATCTTTGGAGAGAAGAGAAGAGGAAACATGTATCAGTCAAACAAAGAAAAGATTAACATGTATGATATACCAGTGCCAGAAAGGCCATAGCAAGTAGAATGTGGAAGTTGGATGAAGTGTCCTGAGATAGAGCCACACGGCAACAATGCTATTGATGCTACTCCTTCCATCATCATCAACTCTTCCACGTTTCCCTCTTCGTTCTCCTCTGCCGGAAAATCTAACCCAAGAAAAAAAAACAAAGAAAGTGAAAATGGGTAGGGGGGAAAAGTGACGAGAAAGCGAATTGAAACACAAAGTTTCAATCTTTTATCACTGCAATCGCAGGATGAATGGAAAATAAAAAGTACCCATTTGCGTATGTTAGAAAGAATGGTGAGTGGTTCGGTTCTGCGACACAACAAGCTGCAAAAGGAAGAAGAACACTTAAACGGAGAGAAGAAGAAGAAGAAGCCGAGGATGAAAACGTTGATGCCGGTAGCGCAAGAAAGATTGTTCTTCCTTTGCTTCCTTTTTCACCTTTGCATTCTTATTGTCATTTTGCCTTTATTTATCCAATTTTTTAAGATTTATATTTTTAAAAATTATTTTCATCGTTATCTTTTTTTTAAAAAAATTGAGTCATTTTGATTCTTTAAGAATAATGTTTGATTTTTTATATTTTGAACACGAGTTTAAACACTTTTTTTTATTGATTTAAGATGTAAAATCTATCTCATTAATCTCATGAAAATATGAATGAAAGGATAAATCATATATAATAAAACAATAAGGATGTGAGTATGTTGCTATGAGTATAAAAATGTCTAACTTTACTTTTACTAACTTTTTAGAAATTCATTTATTATTTTTAATGTTACAAACCTTTAATAAGAAATTTGACGTTTCACATAATTTTAATAAATTCTAAGAATATATATTGCAATTTTCATTTAGTTAATTTTTTTTATAGTAATCGATATTTTTTGTGCAAATTTTAATTAAAGTTGACTTTGACCAAAAAAATTATAATTTCAATAATATACATATATAAAATAGTAATTATCTCAAATAAATGAATATTGAATTTTAATTTTGTGATTGTTACAAAATATGGAATATTACAATGTATGAGTTAAAGATGCCCATGGAGGATTCCCCTCACTTTCGTGAAAGAAAAAATTATTCAACACAAAATGTTGGTATAGTTTATTATTATTATTATTATTATTATTATTATATATATATATATATATATATATATATATATATATAATGTTTGTAGGAAAATACTAAGAAAGGTAGTATCTTGGAGACCTGTAATATATATTAAATTTCCATGGAAATTTAAATTTTTTTAGTTTTAAATTTTAAATAGAAATGAGAAAACCTGAAAAACTAAGGATACTAATTTCAATCGAAATATGTAGGCAGTTTCTTCTTGCACCTCTATAACTTTTCCTGCACCCCAAAAGTGTCTTTCCCATTTTACCCTTTTTGGAATATCTGAAAGTCAAAAACGACTTCTGAATTGTGTAAGTCGGAAGCCAATTTTTTTTTTGAGAAACCAACTACTGCTCCAGCTTTACAATAAAATTGATTTTCATAAAGTCAACACTTCTTTAGCATGGTATTTGTATTGACCAACAAAAGTTATTATATGGAAAACTATAAACTATTTCATGCTATGCACAGGATCATCGAAGTTGCATAAGTGTAAGAAAGCGACATGCACCAAAATTTGTTGTGAAACCTTGCATGTGGAGAAACAAGGAGCTGTGACATGCATTCACAGAATCTGTGGAGAGCCTTCCCAGTTGTCTTTAACAGTAGAACTGGATTCAGCATCAGTTCCAACCCTCTTAAAAACTAGCTTTTGCTGGGGAAGTTGACCATTGGCAAATACTGTGACTTCTGTGTCCACTAAAATTGTGTCTTCATCTCTGAACTCTCCTCTAAGAATACCTTTGGCAAGTTCATTCTCCACATTCTGCTGAATCACTCGCTTGACCGGCCTAGCGCCGTAGTTTGGATCATACCCCAAACTTCCAAGGAGTTGGATTGCAGCTTCTGTCACTTGGATTTTCATCTTGCGATCTGCAATCCTCTTTTGCACCCTCTCCAACTGTAAAAGACGTAGGAAGTGAGTCTTGTGATAAAAAATTGATAGACCATGTAACAATTCCCAGAATTCTCTTTGACTTTCATCATTGAAATGTACACAGGTAATTGTCCTGAGTATAACATGTTTTTAGTCTTTCAAAATATCTCAAAGTTTGGTTTAGTCCTTTTAATGTCTCTAGACTTTACATGTACCCAAAGTGGTATTGTTTTGGTCCCTCACCAGAGACTAGAAACATATGTTTATATCAAAATATAGAGTAAAGGTGTATTAAATTTTCATGGATACTAAAACCAAATTTTGAGAGATTAGAAACATATTTTACTCTTCTTTCTTTTATAGGGGTGTGTGTGGTGGAGTAATGGACTTCAACATAAATGTATCTATTAGAGAGGAGAAAATTACCTGTAACCTGACAATACTGCCTATTTGGTCACGGTCTAGAGGCCGGAAAACGATATACTCATCAACTCTGTTCATGAACTCAGGGCGAAAGATTGATCTTGCTGCGTCCATTACCTTCTGCTTTATGGTTTCGTATGCTGACTCTTTGGGTACAGTGTCATTATCTGTGTTGAGAATGTACTGTGATCCAACATTTGAGGTCATAATGATAACCGTGTTGGTAAAACTTACAGTCCTGCCCTGTGAATCAGTTACTCTTCCATCATCCAAGATTTGAAGGAATACATTGAAAACATCTGAGTGTGCCTTCTCAATCTCATCAAACAAAATGACAGCATAAGGTCTGCGGCGAACGGTCTCTGTTAGTTGTCCTCCCTCTTCATATCCAACATATCCTGGTGGAGCCCCAATCAATCTCGAGACAGTGTGTTTTTCCATGTACTCACTCATGTCGATTCGTACAAGTGCTTCTTCTGTGTTGAACAAATAAGAAGCAAGGGCCTTGGCTAGCTCAGTCTTTCCTACACCAGTCGGTCCCATAAACATGAAGCTAGCAATCGGCCGATGGGGATCTGAAAGACCCGCTCTTGATCGTTGGATAGCCTCAGCTACTGCCTTAACAGCGGGATCTTGACCAACAACACGCTTATGAAGCTCTTCCTCTAAGTACAACAGCTTCTCTCTTTCTGATTGTTGAAGTTTTGAAATTGGAATACCGGTCCACTTGCTTACAATTTCAGCAATATCATTCCCAATAACTTCTTCTCTCAACATAGACTTACCAGAGTTCATATATTCGTGTAACTCCTTTTCTACACTTTCAAGTTGTCGTTGCAAGGAGTTTAGACTGCCATACTTCAACTCAGCCGCACGATTAAGATCATACTCCCTCTCAGCCTGTTGAATCTCAAGATTTACCCTGTCAATCTGCATATAAATGAAAATCGGAAAGCATCAGATTTTAATCTTCTGATTAACATACAATCGGGTCTTAATGCAAGTGCATTTCTAATAATATAATTACCAACATAATATAATTACCAACATACTTGCACTGGTTCAGTGTGATCAAACCCCGCAAAACTGTCTTATAAACGTTCACTTATTTATAAACTGAATGCACATTTGGCAAAACATAACATAATTCTGATAACATACCTCCTCTTTAATAGATTGCAGACGAGTCATTACAGACTTTTCATGCTCCCATCGCCCATTCAATTCATCCTGTTTCCCTTTTAAGAGAGAGAGTTCTGTCTCAAGTCGATTTAATCTATCTTTAGAAGCCTTGTCTGTATCATTCATGAGAGAGAGCCTCTCCATCTCGAGTTTCAAGACTGACCTATTAATCTCATCAAGTGCAGTAGGTTTTGAAGTAATTTCCATTTTTAGTTTAGCAGCTGCTTCATCAACCAGATCAATAGCTGTAATTTAGAAGTAGCTAGAAGTTAGTGATTTGTGAGTATTGTTGATGCAAGTCCACAGAAAATGAAATACAGTAAAAGTTTACATTTTTATTGAAAGCTGGGAATGCTTTTGTATAAAAGGAGATAAAAAAAAAATGAACATAAGCTAATGAATAGTCCAAAATTGATATTGGCTTCAGGTTATACAAAAGACAGTATCGACCTACATCCATACTAGTATGAGAATCATAATCCCAATCGAGGAAACCAATTGGTGAATATACTGAAAAATAGGAACCAATCCTAAGCAAACATCCGAGATACTTTAAGATATCCTGAGTTCCAATACTAATATTATGAGATGCTTTTCCATATATTCTGAAAAAATTAACAAAATAATGTAAAGAAACAACTAAATGATAAAGAAAAAGAGAGAAGTTGCAGCTATAAATTAATCGTTCAAATTCAACACATTGAAAATGAATTAGACAATGGTCACAGTAATGCTCCCTACAGTGGGGAAGTTCCATATGGTTTTAAAGCTCTTAAGAACAGTTTCTATTAATACATTATATCATTTATTGCTAAGACCCTAATCCAGAATCCAAACATCATTCTTTTAAAAGAAGTAAGGTATCATAATACAATAACTAATTATTTGCCAGAAAAAACTTAAAAACAAAATTTCTTAAGCTTTGTGTAATATGTTCACTTGCCAAGAGTCTTTGGTCTGTTATTAATACCTTTATCAGGCAAAAACCTGCCACTTATGTATCTGTCCGAGAGAATTGCAGCATCCACAAGTGCACTGTCAGAAATGCGAACTCCATGATGCAGTTCATATCTTTCCCGCAGTCCCCTCAGTATTGAAATGGTATTTTCAACTGATGGTTGGTCAACAAAAACTTGCTGGAAACGGCGCTCAAGTGCAGGGTCCTTCTCAATATACTTTCGATACTCATCTAATGTTGTAGCACCAATACATCGCAGCTCCCCCCGACCAAGCATAGGCTTTAAGAGATTACCAGCATCCAAAGCACCATTTGTAGCACCTAGCATGTGACAGATATATTCAATATTTCAATCAAGTTCAACGGGCAACATGTTTAATTTCTTTTATCAAATCACCATTGCTTCAGACAAATTCAATAGTTTGGGAGAAATATATTCATTGAAATGTATCATCTTTCTCTAATCTGAATATCCATGGATTTGAAAGGTTTTCGCACAGCAGTCATGCAGACAGAAAGGAAAAAAATGTTGAAAGAAAATGGGGAAAGCTGTATTTCAAATTGCTTTTGCAAAAACAAAAAATCAGTTACAAAAGGTGGAAAATTCTGAAATTCATTACCTGCCCCAACAACTGTGTGGATTTCATCAATGAAAAGGATAATCTGACCATCAGATTCTGTTACTTCTTTGAGAACAGCTTTCAGTCTATCTTCAAATTCTCCCCGGTACTTTGCTCCTGCAATAAGTGCACCCATATCAAGGGATATGAGCTGAAAGTGACAAGTGTATCAGATTAATTTTACAACTCACGGTCAACACACAGCTCAAACTGGAGAAAAAAATAAGATATAAAAAAGCATACTTATAGACAAATCA